CCAGTTGCTCTCAGCTCGATTGGCGCAATCTTGTATTCTATCATTCTTGATTCTACAGCAAGAGTACCTGATAAAACAGTAATGGTAAAACGATTCATAAGTCCCAAAGAACTTTTTGGGCCGACCGGCTAGATTGGCAAAACAAAGCGGCTAAAACCGGCTAAAATGTTTTAATGAAATTTCACATAGACTCTGGCAAAAAACGGCTAAAATATTTTAGTGAAAATTCACATGCTTTATTTAAATAAATCGCAAGAAACGAAATACTAGTTAATACCATAATTTATATCGAGTGTATATTCCTCATCATCAAATGAATCACTATTGTATATATCACCTGAATTCATTAATTTTAAGAGATCGTCATCTACAGTAAAATTATGGCAGCATTTTTCTTCGCGTTTTAAACCGTATCTTATATATAAAATAGCGTTTAACGTTTTAACGCACATTGGATTTCTTTGCTTAGTTTTTATTATATTCATTGAACTAAATATTCGCTCTACTTCTGCATTACTTATAGGCAAAACAAGAAAACTAAAAACTAGGTTGCAAAGGTCAGCAAAAGGGTTTTCTCCTAGGGCATTTCGAAATTGATAAACTTCGGCCCAAAATTTTACAGTTGAGTCTAAATTACTCCAGGTATGTAACGTTAACCGTTGCCATTGCATCTCTATGGATGTTATTTCGTCGGCATTATATTTGTGTTTTTGTTGCTGTAGTTGAACAAATACTTTTGGTTTAATTACTCTTAATGCATTTCCAACCGTGAAAAAGTCAATTTTTTTAGTGTGTCAATATTTGTAGGGAGGCGTTGGCGTACTTCCTTTATTAAAGTGATAATAAAATAGCGACCATTTTCTCGAATTATTTTCTTAATCTTCATTGGGTCTGCGAACAACTTGTTTACTTTTTGCACCTGAAAATTAGGCAAATAGTAAAATCGGCTAAAAACGGCAAAATTTTTTTTACAAACCGGCTAACAAATCGGCTGCCGGCTAGATCGAATTTTCTCCGGCTAGTTGCTATCAAAACCGGCTAAATCTAGCCGGAAAACGGCTAAAATGGCAACGCTGGTTTACGCGCTCACGTACAGGATCTTCAATTAGAATAGCGTCATCGTCGAATTTTCTAATTCTTTAAAAGACGTGGTTGAATAATGAGAACACTTTAGACATTCCTAGTTTTGATATAGTAATTCAATTTAAAAGGCCAATGACGAGAGTAGGCGGAGTTGTAATCTGTCATAACACGCATGACGGAGCCTGTATTGTTACTCCACAAATAGAACTCAACGCACGACAACTGGAATCAATGTCTGTTCAAATATACTTACATATGTGCTTGTGAAAGCAGACTGGACCCTGAACATGGGAACAGTTTGTTGCAATTTATAATCGACCAGTAAATAAAATTATTTAAATGCGAATTATGCGTTGGATTCAGCGCTCCCTTTGATTGAATTCCTCAGCATCAAATTAAATTTAAAAATGTCCAGCAGTCGCACCGAATCGACAACACGATCAAAACCAATCATTGATACCAAGGCGAATTAATATAAGGTGGTATTACTAGCTCAGCTGATTTTGTGTATGTGTTTCGCCGCACGGCTTCTGATATCAAATTGAAAAATTTTGTTTGAATTTCTACACACACTCTTACAGATTTTGACAGTTTATGCCGCCAAAGTAAAAACAAAATATATGTAAATTTTTGTTTTTGTACTCCTGCTATCACCTTATATTAATTAGCCTTGATTGATACTGTATTTCAAAGAGATATTGATGACATCTTAACTGAAGCATATATTTCACATTTTAGTTACCATAAGCCACTCTCGTCCCTTTTGTATAAATTTGAACATGAGTCTAAATAATAATAAAATGAAAAATTAAAACATTAAAAAATTTGAAACGAAAAATTATAAGAACTGATCAACTTCGTACCAATATTACAACAAACAAACGCATTCGTCTCATTCTCTCTTAGTTTAATTTTATGAAGGTTTCACTTCTACCGGGCGTTCACTGCACACATATGTTTTTTTTCTTCATAAATAGTTTCCGCTATATACTTAAGCTGCGTTTCTCCATCTCATTTAAGTGGAAATTAACTTTAATTTAATATTTTATTTAATTCACATTTAAATTATTTTCAGTTTTAATGAGATCTTTATTTAAGTGAGTAAAAAGTGGTTGTAAAACAGACTTGGCCAGCGAAAGCTTTCATTTGTACTGAGAGCTTTTGAAAGCAGGGCTGGTATACAAGTAAGCAACAGATACACAAAATTGTCGTGTGTGTATATTGATCACCTGACTAAACGTGTAAGATCTCTGAGTGTGGTTATTCTGATTGAATTTTTATTTAAGGGAAGAGCATAGGTCACTTAAATTAAAATTTAAAACAAATTAAAGTTGATTATTGAAACCAAAAATTCGAAAATTAAAGTAATTTTCACTCAAATGAATCTGGTGACACGCAGCCTATGGTGACCTTATGGATAAGTGTCGGATTTTTATTTTTATTTTCAAATTAATTTTAGTTACTTTTTTATAAAAAATGTAGTCCATTCTATGAAAAAAAAACATGTAAATCCAAGTTTCAAAGTTTGTACAAAAATTAAAAGAAAATCAAAGTTTCAAAATTAAACACTTTTTATTCAAAATAAAGAGTGTGGAATTTTGATGAAAACGTACTAGCTCAAAAGTTGTTCCTTCTTATTATCTACGTTTTTTAATGAAACTTTGTTGATTTGCTTTTAATTTTTGTACAAAGTTTTAAACTTGGATTAACAAGGTTTTTGCTATTGAATGAACTATATTATTTTTAAAACAAGTAGTTAAGACTAACTTTAAAATAAAAACAAAACTAAAAATCCGAGACTTATCTATACTGGGTGACCTCACTCATATGACTGATAAAATTATAACCACTACTGTTCTTTGGTAATGTGCCACAAATATTATTTAATTATTATTTTGTATTCTTACTAAATAACTTAAATATAAACGTTTTCTATACCTGCAATTTTATGGCTGATAAGACGTAATCATACGACCTTTTAAAACAAAAAAAGGGAAGTATCCCTCGAAAGAGAAGATGAAAACGATTCAAGTACTAGATACAATGCAGATACTGAGTAGGTATCGATACTTTCAGTCTTTTGAGTACAAGTACTCATTAGAGTGATACCTTAGTGGTATCGATTGAACCCTACTCGCCAACGACTAAACTATAGAGCATGAGAATACGTGTGAAGTGAGCATAAACAACTGTTCTATGGCGTGCAGTGTTGCTGCGAATCATTTTTAGTGGTAGCCAAATTCCTAAAAAAAGGTATAAAAAAGAGCTAAAAAAGTCGATGTGGCTAAAAATGGTAGCTTAAATTTTTTACTTACATATACATATATAAGTATACACGCAAACATTTTCAAAAAGTAATGGTATAGAAAAACAACGAACTCTGGAAAAAGCTAATATTTTATCCAACCAAAAACGTTTTTGTATAAAAGGGGAAATATATAACACCGGCTTGCTGGCTCCATCAAGTGATTGTACCATCAGGCTATATTTCTTTACATATGAGGTCCGGGAAAGATCGAAATGATTAGAGCCGTAATTTCATAATTTTTCTACCATTTTGTTAAACATTGTTTTTTTTTTTTAATTCACAACTGCAATATCGTGAACTTAATCTTCCACAAACATGGCTTTCACTCATACAGTGCAGGAATTTGCGCCAAAATACTTTTTACTTAGAAAATTTAGCCAATTTCACCACTCACGACATGCTGGTACAATCATAAAATTTTCAAATAGTTTTTGAAGTCGCACCAGCAGCTGGTACAGTCACACCACAAGAACATACACGGTCAATCGACTTGATGGGCCATTTAACAATTTAAGCATATTAAGGGCCGTAAACTTATCTAGTTTAAACTACAGTTAAATTGTTAATAGATAAGTTAACAGCCCTAACACTTTTTTTAAAGTATGTATGTATAAAAACGTAAGGTAGATACAATACATATATGTATATACATATATCAGTCTTTCTTAGTTTAAAAATTCATCTCTTACATAAATGAAAAAAATTACATCAAACTAGGCGTATACAACTTTTTCATGCCAAGTATGAATAAATTCTACAAAGGACTAAAAAAAGGGCTAGGGGCAATTTTAAATTTATGTGGCCAAAAAAAAGTATGTGGTAGCCAAATCTAGCCCCAAAAGGGTTAAAACGGCAACACTGATGGCGTGCCGACCATTGAGGTACACACTAGAGATGGGCGCGGGATAGCGGGACCCGCGGGACCCTCGGTACTGATTTAAAATTGGCCGAGATAGGCGGTATCGGGAAGATCTATAAAAATATGGTGGGCGGGACGGGACCCAAATCCTTTCCCGATACTCCCGATAAAACCGCAACCCCCGCAAATTCATAAAATCATAATTAAAAATGATGTTTGAAATATGCACTCCTAATGTTTCCTTGAGACGAAAACGAACAGCAAAGAAAAACAAAATCGGAAGATGCCAAATCTTTCATTATTATTTGAAATTAATTCGAAAGACATGAACATTTTTATCAACCTTCGATCGGTTTGTGAACCACGCCACACACGTTGAAATCTCAACCGTCGTTTCAATTTGTTGTCCGTTTGTAGCCTGCTTTAGAGATATATATCGGGACCCATGGGACCCACGGTACAATTCTGAAATACGTCGGGATGGGCGGGTTCGGGACTTAAAAATCGAATTTCGGGATGGGCGGGATCGGGATGAAATATTTAGTCACGTGCCCATCTCTAGTACACACGTTTGAATGGTAGTACATATATTTGTACGTATGTACATATGTTTGTGTGTATGTATATCTTTTTGTGCAAGAATGATAGAATACAAGATTTCGAGCTGAGAGCAACTGGCTGTGACGTCAAAATGTACCACAATGAGAGAGCAAGACGAACTCGACAAGAAAAAGAGGAAGCATCCAAGAATGATAGAATACAAGATTGCGCCGATTGCAGCAGAATTCGTGAGAGTAATTTTGGTATGACGTCATCGTAGTTGACAACTGAGAACGGCAAATAAAACTGCTCTCTAGTGATGTGCTGAATTGTCGGTACCTGTTGCCGCTGGTATACTTATCACTTTGCCTACCACCTTAGCATACCTATATATACATGAGTGTATACGTGTAGTTAAATCATCTTCACTCATACGTACTACAACATTAATAAGCCATATATGTATGTACATACATTTTGTAAATAGTTAAATAGCCACCGTTATATTTTGTATTCATTTCATAAGTGTATAAATAACACCGCCAGAGTAAAATTCTGGGTCTTTCTTGTATTTGACACGCGTATTAACCATACAAAATATTTTTAAAGCGCTGCGCAAGTAGCACATGAATTAGTGCAAATAAA